CATATGTTTCAAAATGTCACATATTTCAAAAGGAAGATTTTAGAAATGGTACTATTTTTATATTTTGCAGAAACTTTAAAAAAATCTATTTATTAATGCTCAGCCTCACAATTTTGAAACCATCACAAGCATAAGGCCAGGACATGTTTAAAATATTTATCAAGAAGAAACATTTCTATTGGTAACTCTTTTTATTATTACACTATTACCGTTTGCAAGATGACATATAAAATGCCATACTTAGATATAATAAACTTTTATATCTCGAGAAATGAATTGGAGGTGGAGACCCTTTGAGAGCTGTATGCAACAAAATTTCATTTTAATGTATGTCGATTAGTGTACATTCAAAGTGACAATAAAGTTTATTCTAAGTCTAAGAACAAACTGTTGTTTAAAAATACAGCATGAAGCAATAACTACATTTGTTATCTGACAGAAGTTGTAGTAGATTTAGACAATTTAGATCTGAAACTGAGGATCCTTTGGATGTAACTTCTCTTAGTCCTAGCCAGCATTACTACCTAAAGTGAAACACAACTGGTGTTCTTACCTAGGCTTCCTGAGTCAGTAAAACACACGGGTAGTCCCAAAAAATTCTTTTATTGCAACAGCTATGAATTCTGTTCATTCACAGATGAGTCCTAAATAGCTGTAAAGAGTCCTTTGGGATAAGGCTGATAATCACCCACCTTTATCTCCCTTGACTTGCTGCCAAAGACCTAATTGGCAAAGCCACATGGAGTCCAGAATCAAACAGAGCTTCAGACTTCAAACTGAAAAGAATTAACAATGTTGCTTCCTGCAAAGGCCCAGGTGCCTTTGCTCCTCTTTTAAGTCTTATGGGCCAATCATCTCCAAGACCTACTCCCGAGTCGTCCCTTTTGTTTTAACTGTTCTTGCCTTCTGGCAGCTCTGCATGTGCGCACTGGAAACAGGCTCCCCTTGTTCCTCTGCCTCACTGAGGTCCGAATCTGGAGGCTCCAGAAGCAGCACGTACCTCCCAGATGGCCCTTTCTCTGCCTCCGACTCAGAGCCCTTGTCTGAGCCTTCCCCAGACTCCAGGACTGGCCCATGTTCCTCCCCAACCTCCTCACTGTCCGACTCTGCTGCCAGCTCCGCAGTGGACCACAACAACTGGAGGCAGATGTAGTGTGTGTGTGTTTGTGTGTGTGTGTGTGTATGTGTGAAAATCTCAGACTATGTGGTCTTTGATCATGATATCATCCTCTATCTTGCAGATGTTGGTCTATGGATATCCCTGATTGTGGAGGGCACAGATTGAGTGAAGATTTGGGGGAGTGGGTAGAAGGAAGGGGGTACATGTGTGTTCCTTTGAGTAAGTCTTGACTATGTATGGTAACTACATAGACTACAGTGGTGGGTTGCTACCAGTTTGCCGCGGATCAGGTGAACTGGTGGCGGTGGCAGGAGGCTCCGCCCACCCGCCCAAACGTCTCTACGTATGTGGAGTGCGTGCATGCCCACAAGCAAACCAGTAGTAATGGGGTTTGAAACCCACTACTGATAGACTAGTGCCTGTAGTTAAGAAAACTACATTTTCTTAACTACATTAAGAAAACAAGATTTTTAGAAATGGTTTCCCATTGCCTTCCTCATAGAAAAGAAGTGTGAGAAGAAAAGAGAGTGTGTGACTGGCCCAAAGTCAGCCGGATGACTTTCTACCTAAGGTAGGACTAGGATTCATTGTCTCTTGGTTTCTATCCAGTTGTCTTTAACCACCACACACCACTGAGTCACATGGAGAAGTTAGAATAGGCTTGTAAAAAAGAAACATTAGCTGCTCATAGTCAGAATTAAAATAAAAGAGCCAATTCTGCAGAGGGAAATGTTAAGCTAAATTATGTCCTCCTGGAGTGCCATGCACATATACCGTAATGCCGTAGATCACCTGAATAATTTAATCCATTGTCATTATGATATCAGCCTTTGCTCCAGATACTCCCATGTATGGTTTATCTCATGCAGAATTAAACTATCTAATGTGTCTTTGGAGGATATGTTAAGATGGCCTCACCCAGAAGCTATCACTTACAATGAATGGTTTTAACTGATATACTTCTATATAACCTTCTGTCAGAGCAGCTACGAACAGACAGTTTACAGGTTTACCAATTGCTACTAATTCAAAGGTATTAACATTAAGTCTATTGTCAAGCTTTTTATTTATTTATACACACCAGATGCCTGTCATAGTGAAGAGAAAACAATGCTATGTAATCATTCAGGAGGCTGGTGAAGACAACAAAGAGCCTCTGATTATATTGCACTCTATTTATTCCTACCAATGGTCTACTGCACCATATAATGACACAAGACATTTCAAATAGGGCATTATGACCTAATCATGCAATATAATACTGTACATATCTAGTCAGAAATAAACTCCACTGAGTTCCAGTGGATTTACTGTCAGGTACATATGTATAAAATTGCAGCCTTTGTTGTCTTCACCAGCCTCCTGAATGATATTCAGAATGTGATATTTGAAACAGAAATCATGCACTCTTTTAGATGTGGTTATAAAAACAAATCCATTAAATAGGTTGTAGACATATTTGGTTTGTAGACATATTTTTAACTCATGAATGTTAAATTTCATATAGTTACACAAAGGCTTTGAACTTATAATTTAAAACAAATCTTCACCAATAAAATATGTATATATAAGTAAGTTTTCAGTAAATAGTTACATACAAGAGTAAACACTATATGTCTCAATGAATTTTTATGTAAAAAAAAGCTCACACAACTTCTACAAGGTAAAGTTGCACACCTTTCTGCAAATTTGATGCCAGTTTACGATTTGTGTGAAAGTGTTCATAGATTCAAAACAATGAATATGGCAGGTACAGAAATTTGTATGGACAGCCTAGCAATAAATTTACAGTTAAGTCAGAGCAAGAAATATGTTCCCCTTACCTTTAATCATTACATTTTAATCAGGCCCAAAGTGGGTTTTGACAGTGTTTCTGTTTTGCATAGGAAAGCCTGATCAACACTACCCAAAAATTGGATTATAACCCAATCCTCCAAGTTGCTGGCTCTCCTGGGGCGGATCCCAACACAAACCTCTCCTCTCAGTCATAACTTGGTTGGTTTTTGCTTTTCTCTATTGTTGGACTCCATCCCCCATTTAATAATAATATTATAGACTTTCTCTTGAATGTAGGGACATGCAAAAAGGTATCACTGATATCCTCAGCATATAGATAGAGAGAAAATATTGTCTTGAAATAATAGAAAATACTTGTAGCTCAGGCTTTAAATTTTGGCAGTGGTTTGCTCACCAAGCTTGTTTTAATTTAGTTTCTTGAACATTTCGTTACCAGACTAGATAACATGATCAAAAAAATTGTCTGCCTGTATCATTATATTCTCAGGGAATCTATAACAACTATCCGTTTTAAGGTGAAGTATTTGTGAAAAAAGCTCTGTTTTCCTTGTGGATGAGTGTCATAATATTGTAATTATTTGCCCTAAGAAAATGGCAGGATCAATAAATAAAATCAAAGAGCAGTTTTTATTTATACTAAAAATAATTTATTTGGTGAGAAATAATTTAAATTCTGTTGTTTAATTTTTAAATTGATTACTTGGTTTTTTCTTTAAAATAAATTCTGATCAACTGAAACATACCATGTGTAGGTATTTAGTAAAAGCTATGATGATCTCCTATATAGGATGCAAAATTGCATAATATTGTGGGCTGTATTTTGAGTTATATACAATATATAATTTCATTCATTTCACTACTTCCTCATAAGGAGTACTTCCTTGCATTTTACCACTTGCTTCTCAGCTCTTCCATAAATTTCATTAATAAAATATTTCATTAGCTTGTGATGCATATAAATAAATAATCATAGGCTTTGCTGTTGGTAGAAAGTCCTGCCTCTTAGGATTTGTTATCCCTGAGAAATTGGCAAGCCCTTGGGAGTTGTACCAGTTGTAATAAACTGTCTGCTCCATGTCACAACATTTTCAAGAAGCGGGTAACTGTTGTGGTTTAGACACACCCCTTATCACATTGCTTATCATACTTTGCTGATTGTGGAATGTGCTTGTCTCCCTTTTTGGTGAGATTTCTTAGTCTTGGCTATGCTAGGAGTGAAGTGCTTCAGAAAATACATGGCGTGCTTTATAAGGATACTTCAATATCATCCAAGACTCTGGTTTTATTCTAAGAAAGGTCCCGTTAGGCCTCAGGAAAACAGATCCTCTCTATCTGGCACAGCTACAATTGAGATAGTAAGCGTAACATGATAATGCACAGATGTTCTGCTTGGCATTTTACATGACAAAAATAAAGACAGTGCCCAACTTGAAAGTCACCCCAGAGGAGGATATGCTATCAAGGCAGCAAATGGAAGGGGTGTCGCTCACAGGCACCTGTTAATAAGTGAGCAGTTTTAAAATTGATGATCTATGTAAAGGCAAATTCGTTTGGGAGGTTATCTCAGACACATGTAACATTCCTCTCACTCGCTGCCTGTTCTCTTGTGGTATGGAGAAAGTTGAAAGTATCACACATGTGCTGCTTCCCTGAATTTTTCATTTGGATGTAGTCAAAATTTGATTTTTTTTTTCCTTTTCTACCAACAATCTTATAGCAATCAAATAATTATCACCTAGTTTTTCTATTAATTAACAAAAACTTTCAGGACAGCTGCAATGCCACTAGATGTTGCTACTTTGTTCCAAGAAAGAAAATCTAGATATACTAAATTTCTCATTTTTATGACTTTTTGAGTGGGTAACAATTTTTGAACCAAGGGAGCTCAAATGGGCTAACTTAGTACAGAATGTGTCCAAAATCTAGGACTCCTAAGGGAAAGAAATTTGGAGATGATATGGCTGTTTCATTGTTACTGGTTGCTGCTGTACTGCTGATTTAGTCACATGATCCTCATTTGTCCTCATTGTGACAATTTCCCAGCCAGTCTCACAATCACTCCCTCCCTCCCCACCCAGCAGCAGCCACTTACCTTCCTGTGGGGAAGGGGAAGGGGAAGGGAAGGGAGGAAGGAAGGAAGGAAGGAAGGAAGGAAGGAAGGAAGGAAGGAAGATGCTCCTTGCTAGATTCCCACAAAGAAACTCAATGGGGAAGCCAGCAGGAAATTAGAAGTCATTCCTCTCCCACAGCTTTTTTCCACCTTTGGTCATTCTGTTTTTCTGTTTAGGTAAGGAAATATATCTGAAACAATGACCCAATGGGGCACGAGTGGTCTAGTGCTTCTTAAAGATCAATTTCCAACTATATAAACATTGGGGGGGGTGTTGTATATGTTTCTTTTGTTGGTTGAGGCTGTAATAAAGTTTTTATCTATTCTTGTATATAGCATCCCTAATGAGTAGCCTAGGTATGGATGTGCCCTGAATTTTGGTTTTCAGACACACAACCCTATCTTATCTATGAAAGTTAGTCAGAATTATTTCCAGATAAGAAAAGGATTGTTTGGCTACCTTTCTGTGCACTTGTCTGGGAGTGCAAGGCACATCTCTTGTCTTGTTGCATTGCATTCTTTTATTCTACAGTTTCATTTGTGAAACTGAGTATTGAAATCAGATAACACCCCCTGAATAAATGAACAGGAATAAGCTTAACAGAGGTAACTCTATACAAGATGGGGTTACTAATGGATGAGTTCTTTGTGAATGCAAAAATGGGGGGAGGAACTGGATTCTCTTTAGCCCTCAAGTGTACTACTTGTATTTTACTGATAATTGAAGTTATGATTTACTACTCTGCCTGCAGCAATTTCCAATATATTGAAAGACAAATTTGAAATAAGAAAGCAAGGGGGAAATTTAACGTTTGATATTAGGAAAAATTAATTGGAATTCTAACTCAAATAGAATGCTAGAATCAGTGGTGGGATTCAAGCAATTTAACAACTGGTTTTCTGCCCTAATGATTTCTTCCAACAACCAGTTTGCCAAACTACTCAGAAAGTTAACAACTGGTTCTCCCGAAGTGGTGCGAACTGGCTGAATCCCACCACTGGCTAGAATGATGGACAATGGGAATAACAGAACAGAATAACAGATCTGGAAGGGACCTTGGAGGTCTTCTAGTCCAACTCCCTGATCAGCAGAAAACCCATTTCAGACAAATGGTTGTCCAATCTCTTCTTAAAAACTTCCACTGATGGAGCACCCACAACTTCTGGAGGCAAGTCGTTCCACTGATTAATTGTTCTAGACTAGAGCACTGTTGTAGAAGACAAGGGCAATGGCAGTGCTGTTGTTTTACAGACTAGACTTCAAACCTCAGTTCAGCTGTAAACTGAACAGAAGACTCATTAAATTATAGTCAGAGATTCCATCAGCAGACTCAATAAGTAAGATCTGCATGGGGAGTGGGATGCAGTCTCCTTCCCACCAGAATGTCTATTCAGAATAATATTTTGTTATCAAGATTGTTATTGAGTATGATAGGGTACGTAATGTACTTTGAGCACTCAAAAATATCATTGATGCCAAGTTAGTGGCAGGACTGAATCCAGAGATCTCATAAACAGTCCCTGCTCATGAGACACTCTGCTTGGGGTGAGGCAATGTTTGTATGACCCCTGTGGTCTCATAACCTCTTTCCAGACAGTTGGAGAGTCTTCTAAAATAGCATATGAAGCAGTGGTGGAACTCTAATGATTCCATCACGAGTTCACCAGCCATTTTCTACCGATCTACTTTTGATCGATGCAATTATTAAAGAGGCTAGACTAGGTTTATGACATATTAATATATTGGAGGCATGTATTTAGAATGTCGATATTCCCAAATTCAAAGGGTTGTTAAGAGAATCAATTGAAAATCATCTGAAGACAGTACAATTACAATAGCACAGGAGCTAAATGTGTTTGTTGAATATGTTTGAAAATTATAATTAAATTCTGTCTTTGGTTGCTGTACAGCCTTTCCTCATGTCAGAATATGGAGGCATTACCAGATCAGTTTCTTGGGGGTGACCTCCTGAACAGATTTATAGCTCTTCATATACAAAGTTAAAAGATACTGTAAAAGTTAGCCTCAACTCTTTGGAAAGTATTTAGAAATGAACTGACATTGTTGAAGAACATTGGCCAATCTCTAAGAATCTTTCAAAGGAAGTCTAACATAGGGCACTTTTTGAAATGACAAACAATGTTCCCAGTCAGAGATAATAGTGTCTGTCCAGGAGAATTCACATAACAGACCTCTCTCTAGTTACCGAAGGGAACTTTGGCTATAGATATCACTTAAAACTCTGGTAACCAATTTGTATTTATCAAAACTTCTGGACTGGAAACTTGACTCTTCTTGGAGGAATGGAATCCTGCCAGAACATGTTGGGCACAACTTCCCTGGATCAGATAGGTGATTACATAAATGTGTGATATAAACCGATGATGTAAAAAGAACATGATAATTTATGATACCAATTCTGTCCTTTCGTCCGTCTGTTTGATGCAAGTATGCAAACTTAAATTGCAGCATTGTGACCCAGATTCTCATTTCCTTTTCTTGGCCTATTACAGCATTGGGCAAGCATACTATGGCAAGAAATGGACTATGCTATGCTTCTTCTAGCATAGGAAAGCTTCATCTCTTGATCCTTTTCCTATCAGATGCATTGTACAATTCTGCTGTTGTCTGGTGGAGGGTAGATTCTTATGGCAGATGGAAAATGCTGTAACAACAAGTTTCTCCTTTCCCTTTTTCAGAGTTGGATGCTGGTGTTCAAGGATATGTGTTTCAACCTATTTTGTACAACCTGATCTTCATTACAAGCAGTTTTAAAGTAACAACATGGCTTAATACAATAAAGAGTCAAATTGCACTTTCTTAAACGAGTTTCATAATTGCAAAACTTTCCCACTAGATCCTTTCTGAAGAAAAGAATTTCTAGCTAAGTACATAAGTGATTTTTTTTGTCCCAGACTTTTGTCCATTCCATGAGACTAAACAGCTTTTTTTACAGGGGAAATTCAGAGAATGTTCTGAATTTTTAAAAAAGTTTTGTAGCAATGTTTATATTCTACCCCTGATTAAACATTCTCTGGAAAATTGGAATAACCTTTAGGCTAGAGGTTTTAAACAATGCTGAACCACAATCCCCTTAAAATGATAATGTGCCTTATTATGCAGAAAACTAATGATTTCATTGGGAATAGATTTGGCAAGAAAAAGGATATGTATTTATAATTTTAGATATTGAATCAATATATCAGGGGAATATCATAACTGCCAATGGACTTGTACGGTACATGCAAAACAGGGAGCAAAGCGCGGAACAATTCTGTCAGTCTGTCTGTACAAGTTGGCTCAGTTAAAAGACATGATTATTTTGTTCATGAATATAGCATAGGTGAATTTTTTGCTTATCACTGATTGGATGCAGATCGTGAGATATAACAACATCTGTTCCTCTTTCCTTAACTCAAACTTCCCAACTTAAAATTTTGCTATTTATGTTGGAATATCTAGGCCAGCTGGAAATTTTGAAGATTGATCCTAATACATCTAGATGAAAATGATTGGCATCAAGATATGTCAATATACTGACATATATTTTAATCTAAAATAAATTAAAAAAAAAAGATATGTCAATATACTGTACTGTACTTTTTTCCCATCTGTTCAATCCTGCATGATTCTTGGAGACTGGATAATCCCTTGCAGTTTTCTTGGCAAGATTTTTCAGAAATGCTTTGGTATTGCTTCCTTCTTAGGGCTGAGACAAAGTGACTGGCCCAAAGTCACCCAGCTGGCTTTCTGGTCAAGTCAAGAGTAGAACTTAAGATCTACAGCTTTCTACCCGATGCCTTAACCACTTCATGAAACTGGGCCTAATGGAATGTAATGCATTTTATTTATTATAAATATAATATTTATTATAAATATAATAAATGAAATTTTAATAATTTTTATTTATTATACTTAAGGAATCTCTAATTTCTTCCCCTCCCCCCCCAATAATTCTAGAATTTGCAAAATACTTCAGATAAAATTCTCACCTAAAATAAAAAATAATTGCTGGGATTTTTTTTGTCCTTTAAGTAATTATGTGCCATATAATGCTTGAGGTTTATATGTACCAGTTCAATAATATGAACGTAGTTCCATTGATAATGAATATTATACCAGTAAATATATATTTAAAAATATAGGGTGAAGTTCTTTTTCAGAAAGTTGTGAATGCTCTCTAAATTGCTGACCAAATGGTAACCTGATGTGTTTCTTCTAGGCCAGTATTCTGGGTGAGCTTTAACACCCACAATGTTATTTATCACTTGTTGACAGATGCAGGCCATTTCAAGCATTCTTGTAAATTCTATTTTAAGGCAAGCTAGAAGCTCACATTTTGGAATTAACACAGAATAGATATGTGTGGATTGTGGGAGCTGTATCTCGTCTGCCAAATAAAATACTTCACATGTAAGACATGTCTGCTTCTTTCAGGTACAAAGCTGTAGTTGGTTAATGGTCTAAAAACACTGCCAAAAGCATTCAAGCAGGGCCCTGCTGTCATAATTACACCAGAGATGTGGTAATCGCTTGAACCAAGAGAAAATTCGTCCCTGGAAGCTATTTCCTAATGTAGTGCAATGATCAAACATTTACTTCCATTAGTTCCAATGGTTTCTGTCCAGAAAGGTTATAATTTAGCTGTTCTGTGCAAAATGCCAAATGAATCTAAAAAGGTTGCATTAGTGTAATGTAAGTGTGTGTGCCCCCCTTGAAAGATGTTGGAGGCCTCAACCACTGCAGAATTTGGTTAGACTTGTATTTATGGAGCCATAATTCCAAAGGAACTACATTGAACTTGATCTCCTACCAAACTCAGTTTAAGATCTGGAGAGTTCTCTTGAAATCTCTAAACCCAGACATACCATATACGGTATTTTTCGGACTATAAGATGCTCTGGACTATAAAATGCACCTAGCTTTTGGGGAAGAAAACAAGGAAAAAAAACTGTGTGCGATCCCATTGCGAACCGGTAGTAAAGGTAAGTAGAACCCATCCCTGCTCCGTGCGCCCCATTTTCGGCCTCCGCATGCCCCATTTTCAGTCTCCATGTGTCCTGTTTTCAGGCCCATTCCAGGCAGCAGGGATTGCCGCCGCCTATCCCCGCTGCCTGGAATGGGCCGAAAATGGGGTGTGCGGAGGCCGAAAATGGGGCATGCAGAGGCAACAATGGGCGGCAGAGGCGATTGGCGGTGATGGCATTGATGGGCAGTGGTGATTCCCGCAGCCTGGAACAGCTGATAGGCGCTATTCTGGGAGGCAGATCCAACCGCCAATCAGCTGCTCATGCTAAATCAGGCTGACCAGGCTGTTTGCTGCAAGGAGGCAAATTGCTGGGAGGCAGAGGCTAAAGGGTGGGGGCTTAGGCAACATTCGCTTTATAAGATGCATACTTTTCCACCCACTTTTTTTGGGTGGGGAGTATATCCCAAGTTGACTAGAACGGTCCTAGTTTTGCATTCCAGACCTGGTGTCTTGGTCAATTCAGAAAAAAAAAAGTCCCAGAAAGTATGGCTCTTCAAATGGGGAGCAAAGATTTAGCTATGTGTTAAATCTGTCCCTCTTTGCCTACTCAAGAAAGCTAGGGCAGGCAATAGGGGAGTGAGTATATAAGGTGGCTAAACTTATGTTCTCCCTTTGTCTAGAGGCACATGGGTGTAATCATCTGTTACCGCAAACACACATTTCATGCCCAAATTAGCATCATCTTCGCTACCATCTTACCTATGCATTCGGGAAGATCTTCTCCAGGATTCAACAGAAGTATATTGTGTTTTTACAAAAGACAGAGCCTCTTTTGCAGTGGTTTCCCAGTTTGAGGGAGTTCTGCAACTAAAATGATTTTACAATTTTAATCTGCCTGGGTATTTTAAAAATCATTGTTTTTGTTTGTTTTTCCTGGCTAACACTTTTGGTTGTTTCTGAATTTAATATACAATACTTAATAAATTATTCATATTACTGAAATTTATTTTAAATTCATACATGCCATCCTGAGATCCTTTTGCTTTTGTGGATAAAAATGTCGTTTAAAATAATTATAGTACATACATAGCACCTGGATGTATGCATATTGTTTCCTTTATAAGAATGAAGTTCCATCTAAAACCTTGTTAGGCTGTTTATTCTTTATACCTAGTGGTAAAATATTTTACCATTTACATACCGTAAATGATATAAAATATTTTTTCTATTCCAGTTAAAAAAAAATTTTTAAATCACCACAATGTTTCACAGTAGGAAATATTGCTTTTCTAACAACCAGAATTAATCTTTGTGTCAGGAAAAATACCTCATGTGAAGATTCACTCTGCAGCCAATGTTTTCCTGGGAAATATTTAGGCAGCTAAAACCATCAGCACAACACTAAGCAGAAGTGCTTCTGTTCAGTTTCCAACCATCAAGCTAAGGAAGACTCTTACACTATCCTCCCTTATCAAGCTGTAAACTGTTTTAAAGGGATGCTAGTTATCTTCCTTTGGTTTTCCTTGTCAGATGCTCACTGGAGTTTGCATAGAATTTTGTGATGTTCAGATGTTGAGCAGAAATGCACTGCTTGACCTCTTTGCCAGCCAGCCAATTCACTCTCTACAGAGACCTCCATTAAAACAAAACACGTCTCTTTTCCTGTTATTTTAGAGCCCATCCTCAAATCCACTCAGCATTTACTGTGTCTGTCTCAGAATCAGTCCTTGATTTAAAACTGCAGTTTTTATTGTTCTTGATGTCCTTCTACTTTGATCAATTTTTCTTAATCCAGGAAGACCAGATTAAAGACATGGATTGAAAATATATGAATTGCTAAGGAAACACACACACACACACACACACTCAAACACACAGAGCATATTCTGGGCTGCAAATGGTTCTACAATAAGATGACCTGGTATGGAAAGTCCCCGTTTAAAATGCCAGCCAACCAGGCATATTCCTGTGTAAGATTCTGTTTGTTGGCTTATCCAGTTTTATCTTTCTCTTTCCAAGTTAGTCGCTTTCCACTTAAATCTTTCCCACTTTTCTATATTACTTCAATCTTCTGTGTAGATGAAATCTTCCACTTAGGGTTAAAGTTCAACCGGTCCCAACGTTGGGCCAACTTGGGAAGAGAGTATAAATTGAACCAAACACATTTATCATTGCTCCACACAAGTAATATTCTATGATTTTATTTTACAGATTTGTCATTTTAGGAAGGAAAAAATTGCTTTTGTGATTCCCCTCCACCCTCCATAATTTTCAGAGTCCTAATGAAGCCTTCCTGCAGTTTCATCTTGATCCTACTTGACTTCAGTCTTCCCAGCATGTTGGCCTCTTGAAGTAGCACTTAAAGGAAACAAATGGGATGGCCCACAGTGTTACAAGATGCTTAAAAGAAGTGATTGTGTTCTGACATTCAAAGAATAAATCATACCTTCTTTTAGAGTACAAAATGGAGAGTGGGTGGAGCTCAAAACAATCTTCAGGCATTTTCCCATTTGTCATTTCAATGAAACTTTTAGAATTATATGGCTTCAAAAGAGCTTAGAGCATGTGCAAAAGCCACTGGGCTGTTTCATTTATATTTCTATCCACATACGTCATCATAGTTCCCCCCCCTTTATATTTCAATTACTGTATATGAGTGTATAATATGCTACTGTGTTTTTTTTCCTGCACTACATACATATACTGCTCCAAGAGACACTGAATGGATGAATATTGTTTCTTTATGCATGGACTTATTTCAATTCAAATATGTAACATCCTGTTCTCAAAATAAGTACGGGGATATATAGATTTGTATATGAATGAATGATACTTTGGGAAGATCA